GGTTAATTATCATCGCTGTTCTAACCATAATTCTCCTGAGATAGGGATAATTTTATCTGCCATTCTGTTGTATTCTCAGTGCCTCCTGTACTTAATACTCAATTCTTATTGAATGTTGATCACCAAATGAATTTCTATGTATAAATAATAAAATGCTTTATATACGCTTGAGTTCATATAAACATTCTCCCAGCGATGTTATCCTAAGAATGTCACCAAAACACTAGAGTATTTTTCCAAAGATGTAGTAAATTTTGTCTATTGATAATAATGGCTTAAATTTATACAGAGAGTTGTGTTCTCACTACCTGAATCCTCACAACCCTGTTAGGGAAGGCTTATTTTAATTCCTATCTTAAAAACTAAATTGTTCAAACCTAATTGTCCAGTTCCTTATTCATATTTATCAAGCTATCAAATACCTTTGCTGGGATACAAACCCAAACAAGTGGACTCCATAGTGCACGCACCTAACTCCTACACCCTGAGATGGAGATCATGGAGTCACTCCACGGCTTAACTCACTGTGCTTTCCACCTGCAGAACGGTACTGTGCCACCCAACAAAATCCTGGATCTACTCAACATTTTGGGTACGCCCTTAACTTCAGTCCTCTTCTGCAGCAGCCCCACCAATTTTTGTCATGAAATAGTGTGCAGTTTTGATGGGTCACAACATGAAGAGCAAATACCTAAGACCAGCTCAGTAGATTAGGACTCTGGACTGGTCCACATGGAGGTACTCTGAAGGGTAGATACCTACATGAGTTTTAGACTACATGCCCATCGAGAATTTGAGGAAAGGTGGTATACGATGCTGGTGTTCTCAAGCTGGAACCTCTGAAAAGTTTTAAGATGTAGCCCTAGAAGAAGATCTAGACCTCTTCCATGTTCCTGGTTGACACCGCCTGATACTAGTCACCTGAACTGTAAACCTTCCCATATCAAATTAAAGGAATACAGATCTTGTATGCTTTTAAACACAACACATTTTTTTTTAATTGAGGGATAATATGTGTCATTGTTTGTGACTAGAATAAAACCATGCAACTATTTTGAGAGATATGTCACTATGGTAACAATTTTTCTGATTGAATTTAGAGTTGCAATGCCTTCAGCTACGGGAAGATACAGTTTTTAACAGCAGGTGTTGTGTATCATGTTACATGGGGCCTTGTTTTGTTTTACACCACGTAAGATTTTATGTTAGGCTACCTAATGTAAATCCTATAGCACAATATAGCACAATATCATGATGCATGTCCGGTCATTTAATAGAAATCTTACTTTACTGGTTAGAGACTGTTTTCAAAGACAAATGAAGAGTGAATGATATTAACAGGAGGAAAACCATAAAATATTAGGGGATCCCACAGTCAATAGTTGTATTTGTCAATTAATTTTATTTACTTCTACAAAATGTTTCTTGAATTAATAAAAGTTAACATATGTATCTGTATATCACAGTGGGGATTTTTAAATTTTTAAATGTTTTATTACTGTACTGTGTGTGTGTGTGTGTGTGTGTGTGTGTGTGTGCACGCGCGCGCATGTACATGCTGTGGTACGCAAACAGACATCAGAGGGCAGCTTTGTGAGTAGGTTATCATCTTCTGCCTTGTAGGTCCTAGGGATTAAACTTGTCTTCTCACTTGGCAACCTCTTGCCAACCTAGTATGTTACAGTTATATTATTTTCTTTGATAACATCAGGTCTTTTTATCTGGTTACCTACACAGTGGTGAATGTATTCATTTTTTTTTTTAATTTCTTATTCAGTGGCAAACATTTTCCAGATATCTTGCAAACAGTGAAGACCATAAATTTTCTTCTATCCTAACACTTAAGCTGAAGTAGAACTGGAGTTTCAAAACAATTAGAACATCAACAGTGATGACTTCCCTCCCTGAGCCTTTGAGACATCCAGAAATGTATGTATTTTAACATTTGGTCTCCAGCAACTACTGCTGATTTGGAAGATTCTGGAATCTTTGAAAGAAGGCACTTCACTGCAGGAAATGAGTCACTGGGGGCGGACTTTGGGGTTTGATAACCCATCTTCACTTTCTGTTTGCTAACTACCTCCTGTTGGCCAACACCGTGACCAGCTGCCTTTCTGTCCCTGCCACCGTGCTTTCCCTATAATCATTGACTGTCTCCCTTCAAACTGTGAGCCAAAATAGGCCCTTCTTCCACTAAGAGTCTCAGCAACTAAAACACCAGGAGTCCTCAGCACTTCATTTACAAATTTAGAATAATCAACAGAAATCGGAAACGCGTACGTTTAAAACTCTCCCCTCGTTTATAAGGAAGATGTAATACTTAGCATCAGTTAAAGGAGTTTGTCCTTCAGTCCTGACAAACAGCCCCATGAGCTTGCTCAGAAATCTACTGTACAAATTAGGGAACCTGGGTACTTTCCTGAGGTGTTAGAGCTTATGAAATGAACAAAGTGACACACTGAATGTCTTGACAAAAGTTCAGGCGCAATGGTTTATGCTGGATAAAATTGGCTAGTGGAATGTAATAAGCATTCCAAGTCATGAGACACCAGATGTGAGCATTTCCTCAATCATATATAAAGTATCTTTGTGTAAGTATACTTCACGTAAGTGGTGACATTATGAATGCTGTGTTTACATAGGAGATCCCAGAACTTCAGTGTTTGCATACACATCAGCTACGGTTGCCATTAATACTGCTCTTTTTCTTTTTGAATGTCAGATGAGTAAATCGTAGGAATAAAATAGTAAGCTTGCTTAAAATGAAAGGCTTTACTCGTGATTTTGATAGTTTGCTACCATATATTAAGATGTGACAGGCAAGTGAATTCTTCAACCAATTAGTTCTATTCATATACAGCTCTTATTTCAAGTGCCTTCATAAATATTTTTACAGAATTAGAGATGTAGTAAAACATACTACATTTTGATAAATATATGAAATATGTCAGTACGATGAGTTTTCTGTTAGTCAAACTATGTCCACAACATTTTCAAAACCTTGCGTTTATCATCTATGAAAAAAAAAATACTGTGGTCTTGTTTTTTCTTGATTCTCTTTAAATCCTTAAAATATTTGATTTTCTTAAGTCACCTGCTTAAATGCAAAGATGAAAGTTGGTGAGAGAATGGGGCTTTAAATCATTATGGTGAACTGAAGAAAGACAATCTCTCTCAGTTACTGCAGGTGTATGCTCCACACCAGCGATACCCTCTGCCCTATACCATCTGATAGTATCACTCATTCCGTCAAAAAGAATGATGTTATTTGAAAGCTTTTGCATATGGGTTAATTATTTTCTGCAGTAAAATCCCAGGGTGTGAAGTAAAATTGTAGGTAGGTGAGCCAAGAGTAAATGCTGCATTCTTAAAGTTGCCATAATTTTGGTCCAGTGGTAGAACTTACGAATTTTATCTAAATACCCTAACGAGTGGAAATGAGCTTTTTTTTTTTCCCATTTCACCAGTGTCCATTCTGATCACTTATTATCATAATACTAATATCTTTCCCCAAGCAGGCCAGAGGCAGCTGCTATGAACAGGGCTGACCAGATAAGGAAAAGAGGCTCTGTTGCTGGGGAAGGACCCTTTCTAACTGGCTTAAATGTGCTTGCTTGTTTTCCACTTTTGTTATTAAAATAGAAGTGGAAATCTGCTCTCCCAGGCCTATCAGCATCCCGTTCCTCAGCCGGCCTGACCTTGAGGCGGTGCAGCTGCTTCGGTGGAGTTAAAAATGGACCTTCAAGCTGGCTTTAGTTTCTGTTGCCCTGCGTGCGAGTGACCTCCCACTGATCTGTTGATCACACCCTCTTTACCACTTCTGTTGTTATTTTTCTTACCGAGAGTTTTTAGCCTGGACAGCCGATCCTGCTTTTCAAGGCCCTAACATGCACGTCCTTGCTCGCGTAGTCCCAAAGTGTGGGGAGTGGTGCTCGAACCTCTCTTTGAATAATACGCACCCCAGGTATCCCAGTTGCTTCGTTTTCATCAACCTGGCTGAAAATATCCACTCATAGCAAATCCTGTGTGCTGGCACGGGGCAGCAGGCTTAGTAAGAAGGGAAAAACGTTTGGCGCCTTGCTTTTATGGGTGTGCGAGCCCCTCTGTTCCCTTTTGTTTAGGACTCCCCGGGAAGAGTCACGGAGATTATACCAGCAGGATAACACTTTATTCTCATGCCTTCAGGCCTTCTGAAGACCTCTAAAGCTTAAACTCCTTCCAAAACAGACCCACCAGGAACTTCAGTTCTGGGAATGGCAATTTCTCCTAACTATCCTGCGGGTAGAGCAGGCAACAGTGGTTTTGTTTAGTTTCTTGGCACTGGCCCCCTTCAATTCAAGCTCTGTGCTTTCCAAAGCCAGGTCTTAGAACAGGGCCAGGCTCGCCTTGGCCGCGAAGAAAACGGTTTAGTCACAGATGTAGCATCCCCAAAGATGCGCCACTGATTCCTAAGGGAAGCTGAAGCTAGAGAGTCCTTGCCACAACCGACCACCTGGGTCGGACTGGAACTGATGGCAGAACGTGGACATAAAGGATGCTCACAGGACACCGACTCAACCAAACCATATTCAGGATGACACAGCAAAGCCTTGGGTCATGGCTAACAGGACCTGGAGCTTTTCTGCAGCCTGAGAAGCTTCTTAGTCAAGTCCTGGGCAGCTTGCGCCTGTAAGCACGCGTGAGCTGTGGGCAGGGTCTCACATCAAAGAATCTGGGTTAGTGGCCGAAGGGAAATGGTCCTTAGGTGAATTGCATTCAGGGTGACCAGTGGCCTACCCAGGAAACAGCAGGTGCCTACCCAACTCGAGGCTGATCTTCAACTCCCAGACGCTGGCCTGGGCCCCAGCCTTAGTAACTGGAACTGAAATGCGACCTGACCCGGCAGGGGCGGGCCAGGGCACGGGCCAGGCCCGTGGTGGTGCAGGTGGGCGTGCCGGCCAGGCGGGGAGGCTGGACCTATAAAGCGCTCTCTGTTCCGGAGGAGGAGCGGCTGGTGCAGCCTGTGCTGGTGGGCGCGGTGCCCCGCAGCCTTCGGCTCGCTGGGAGACTGCGCAGGGGCCCACTGTCCAATAATCCGGCTCCTGGGGGGCGCCTGCCTCGGTTTACCCCTTGGCGTCTGGTGAAATCCCGGCAGGTGAGCGGCGGGAGGAGGCGGGAGTGGGCAGGGTCTGACTTTGAGCTTGTTGGCTGTAGTTGGCGGCTCTGCTCCCAGAGCTTTGTCAAGTGGAGTTACCAAGGCTGGTCCCTCCCTTTGGAAGGGCAGTGCCCGGGCTAGTTTGCTCTGGCGATGCCCGGACTCTAAGGAGCTTGTGCACTTCTTGCGTGCTTTTGCAAACTTGTCTCACTTTTTCCTCCCAGCGCCTAAGCAAAGATCGTTCTGCTCCGCGAGGGAAACAGAGCCGTTGACTATGGTTGCAACCGGCAGTTTGAGCAGTAAGAACCCGGCCAGCATTTCAGAGTTGCTGGACAGTGGCTATCACCCTGAGAGTCTGCTAAGTGGTGAGTCGCCCGGGTGTGCACCTCTTTCCCATCCGAAGTTCGCGGCCCCTCTCTAGATAGCGTAAGCTTCCCTGCCTGAGAGCGCGAGACTTCATTTCCTCCTAGAGACAGAGAGGACTATGAAATCCATCTGAGATGTCTTTCTAAACTTCCTCAGCATTGTCTGCTCACCAGAAATAAACGTAACGAGAACACTGCCTTGGGACATTAAGTGTACATCTGGGTATGCATTTAACTCGTGTAACCAGCACCACCACGTTTTCCTCCCAAATTCTTCCCTGCCCCTTTGCCAGCTAATCCCTCTCTTCCCCTGAGAACCATCCTTCAGAGTTTTGTTACTAGTAATTTTGCTTTAGAGTGTTAGAAAATAATGCAATACGTGTTCCTCTGAGTTCGGTTTGCTTTCCCACAGCTTAATACTTTGGAGCTATATCCTCCTCATCAATGTGTTCCTTTTCATTACTAAGTAAGGTTCTGTTATGAAAGGTTACCCACTCTGCCATTCTTAATGTCAGAAGAAAACTTGAACAGCTCTGGTTCTACACAGAGTCATCATTTGCAACCTTAAATGTCAGTTTTTAATTTAACAGGCAACTCTACTATCAGAGTGTTGTGGGCACAGATTAAATAGTTTAAGGTCTTTAGATCCCCCTCGTCTGTAACATAAAATTAAAACTCTCAAAGTGTCTGCTTTCCTTGTAGATAAAATATAGATAAAAATACAGATATAATTTGGAGTCTATTAGTAGGAATTTTTTTAAATTACCTAAATGAACACATGAAGTCGAAAGCCAGTGGAAGTGAAGGTCTGTGGGCAGCGTGGTGTGGCAGCCTGCCAAGTAGCAGGATTAATTTGGAAGATAGGTGACCCAATGCAGAGCTATCTTTTTTCCTCTGAGCAAACCTAACTTTGTTTTCCTGGGTCTGTTTTGTTTTGCTCAGCTAAGAAAAACCTACCCAGCCCAGTTATAAATAACCTCATGGACCTCAGAGAGCCCCTCCTCTGTGAGAATCAATCCAACAGGTCAGAGCTAAAAATGCACCTTCAGGCCATTCTAGTAAAGACTTTTAAAGAAAAATAAAAAGCTGGTAGATCATTGGTACGATGATGGACTTACTTAAAGGCATTCAACAGTACTTTGTTAAGCAAAAGTAATGATTTTTATTCCAGATGTTCTGCATCTTCTCTATGAAAATACTAAAATAAACTTGGAAAACCCTACAGAGAGAGCAAGCGAGAAAGGAAATCACTAGTAATCTTGGATAGATATTTGCTGCATAATCTTCAGGGCAATGGGTAGACACAGAAATTTCAAGTTATTTAGACCTATCCACATTATTGATGAGAGTCTTTAGTACGCAGATAAGCTTTCAGCCTTGAAAGGTTAAGGCTCTTGTCCTGTTGCCTGCTTGGTTAACAGCAAAGTGGGGTAAGCTTTAGAAAGCAGTATCAAAACCAGAAGCTAGAAGTGAACAGTCTTACTATGTCAAGAAAACATTGCTTCTCTCTTCTTAAACTTTGGTTTCTTTCAGATTTCGACTACTGGGATTATGTTGTCCCTGAGCCCAACCTCAACGAAGTGGTATTTGAAGAAACTACATGCCAGAATTTGGTTAAAATGTTGGAGAACTGTCTGTCCAAGTCAAAGCAAACCAAGCTCGGTTGCTCCAAGGTCTTGGTCCCCGAGAAACTGACCCAGAGAATTGCTCAAGATGTCCTGCGGCTCTCCTCCACGGAGCCCTGCGGCCTCCGAGGCTGTGTTATGCACGTGAACTTGGAAATTGAAAATGTATGTAAAAAGTTGGATAGGATTGTGTGTGATGCTAGCGTGGTGCCGACTTTTGAGCTGACACTTGTGTTTAAGCAGGAGAACTGCTCGTGGACCAGCCTCAGGGACTTTTTCTTTAGCAGAGGTCGCTTCTCATCGGGCCTTAGGCGAACTCTGATCCTCAGCTCAGGATTTCGACTTGTTAAGAAAAAACTGTACTCTCTGATTGGAACGACAGTCATTGAAGAGTGCTAAGGAGGGAAAAACAATGAAAGTTCTCTAATGAGTGGATAATAAACCTCTGAAGCTACTCTATCAGTCATGTGTAGTTTGCCTGCCTGCTCTCACCAAGAACGCCCAAATTTAGGTCATCTTCCTTCTGTGTTCCTCGCCCATAGCAATTTTATTAGTAGTAGTATTATCACTATTACTACTGCTACTATTACTTTCAAGACATAATCCAAGAGAGAAATTGTCCATATCTATATATCCATATGGAATGGAATGGAATAAGGAAGAAAAAGAAGCAATCCACTTCCATTTTATATTTGTCTAATATTTACCAGGTTGTCTTAGTAACAGAAAAAGAGCCACTTTGCCTAATTTGACTGTCAGATGTCCAGGGCTTGCTGTTGTTGTGTTCTCTCCCTGCCCCTCTCCCCCTCCCTGTTCCCTCCCTCTCCCCTTCCCCCCTCCCTGTTCGCAGGGTGATCTTCACAATGACAGGACCTTACCAGATGATGCCCAGCCCATCCAAATAACATAGTGGTCCTCATCACCAGATTCCCACTTGAATTTAAAGGATCCTTACACAACAGGGTACAGTCACATTGATAAGGTTTATTAAAACATCATCTTATAGAGAGTGAGTAAACATCACAGTAACAAGAGCATGGCCTTCCGGCCCAGTGTTCTCCCCACACCTGTGCCCAAGGGACAAAAGGCGTACATCATATTTAAATGAGGACAGGATAACTTCCAGGGCCTTTGTCGTATCACGTCAACCTGGTTTTCCTCGTTATCAACTGTTGAATGTCACTTTTTTCATATTGTCTTTAATTAGAAAAATAAAGGTGACACACTGGCTTTCTGTAGTTGATTTGGACTGAGCAAATAATGATTACCCATCTGTAAAGAGGGAGAAGAGTAACCTCAGAAGCTGCTCCTTTCCAGTCCGCTTGGTAACACTGCTGCTTGGTGCCAGTAAGATGCTTCATGAAGCATCTCACCACATCAGTGCTGGCTCACCTCTGGCCTCTTCTGGGAACTGGACCATCTTTTTAGTTACAAATGTGTTTATATTTGCAGCGCCTGATTTGACTTGGAGATGTCGTCACTACTACAGACTAGATATGAAACTCCCGAGAACTTAAGACAACCACTGCACACATCCAGGCTCTGTCCACCATATTCCATGCCCACTCCTAGGAAACAATAAATGACCCGTTTTGGTTGGGTTTTGCCTTATCCTGAGTACTTAAGTAATTTTCTGTTTTTACGGCCATGAGTTAATTTACCCTTCACATCACTCTGCTCTATTCAGCAAGGTCTGTTCATCACTGGGTCATGGAAAGGAATGAATTCAGGTCTACTGGCTTTTAGTATGAGTTCCTTCATACACCTCAGGCACCAGCATGGCTGGGATAGATGTTTTCATCCTGACCTTACACAATCAAGCCTGACGCAGTTACTAGTCCTGCTGGTGGCCTAATGCATCGTTGTCCCAGTGAGCAGGTGTTCTGTCAAATTGTGCTCCTTGAATGCTTGAACAGGCACTGCAAAGGCGGTCTTCATAGGACTGGGCTGATAGACAAATCCCTGTTGCTTTGTAGGCTTGCAGACGTTCAGGGTTTTGAAAGTCACTGTATTTCTGTAGCCATTCGAGCCACTCCACCTGGGAGAATGGTGAGGCTTTTCAGGCATGGACATTGAGCTTTTTCCCACTAACAGTTCTCGTTGGCTCTCTTTTGCCTATTTGACTCACAAAATAGTAATTAATGGCTTACAGAGGCTGTTGCAAAGATATTCCTGTTAAAGGACATTAAAGTCTTGTCTATTTTTTACAATAAAACATTATACATTCTTAATTCTCATGAACTCTTTGTTTTTTCTGCATTTCTGTCATGATCACTCTCAGATAGATTTGACAGTATGTGGAGGAAGATAATATGAAGGAATCATGGAATTGTAACCTCTATTGTGTTTTTAAATTGCCATCCCAACTTTTCACCCTTAGTTTTAAAAGTTGGAAATGATGTAAGCTCTAGTTCACTGTAAATACTGGCATTTTAAAATAAAACCATTGCATCATTCTGTTAAGTGTTTCCAATGGATGTCAATGGCACAGTAATGTGACACCAGAATCTATTTAGAAAACACTAAAATAGACTCTTCCACAGAAGAACAGTTTTTCCAGTGTTACTTTTGCTCTGTTGCTGTACCTTGCCAACCTTTACTTTTTATACTGAATTTTACTTTAATATTAATAGTTTTAAATTTCAAGGTTTTATTTATTTCTCTCTGCAAAAAAAAAAAAAACAAAAAAAACAAAAAAAACAAAAAAAAAACACCTAAAATTATAATTTGCAATTAAAATATGTTCAGTAGTATTTAAGATGTCAAGTTTTGGTTGAGTTCACTTACAAATAAAAAATAGTGCACAGTAATCAAAGACATTGAAGGTGCTTTATAATTTCATAGTAATTATTAATGCAGAAGTGCTGGGTTACTTCTTGCTGAGGGAACTATTTCATTTCTGTAAACAAATATTGGTTTCTGTTATGGATTCAAGGCTTCACTATCTAGTTTTGTTTCAATAGCTGTAAGCTTTGAGGAAATCTACTTTTATCAACACGACCACTGTGGGGGTGACTGCCCGAATACTAATCAGTGTTTGGAGAACTTTCAGATGGACAGCACTTTCAATGACCAGCACACACATAATTCAAATCGATTTCAGTGCTGCTTAAGCAAAGGACAGAAGCATTAAGCTTACAGCTGACTTAGCAACATGCCAGTAGGAGTGGCATGAGATGCAAAAGCTTATTTCCTCAAAGAGTTAAAGGCTACAAATACAAGATCAGGTACTGGCAAGATGCCACCTTCCCAGGGCTCTCCTTGGTGTGCAGAGAGCCCTCTTGTTCTTGTCTTCCCACTGTCTTCCTCTATTTGCCTATCTGTAATCTAATCTAATCTCGCCTTCATATAAAAACACCAGTCTTAATGGATTACAGCCCCCGAGGAGAGGCATTATTTTAATGTATTTGCTTCTTTAAAAGCCCCATCTTCTTACCAGGGGGAGCAGCTTTACCAGATCACAGGGGAAGACAATGCAGCCAGTCCTGATGAGACCTGATAGGCTAGGGTCCAGAGGGAAGGGGAGGAGGACCTCCCCTATTAATGGACTTGGGGAGGGGCATGGTAGGCAATGAAGGAGAGAGGGTGAGATTGGGAGGGAATGAAGGAGGGGGCTACAGCTGGGATACAAACTAAATAAACTAATTTATAAAAAATAATTTTTTAAAAAGTTTGTTTGTTCACTGTCTACCAAGTCCTTGTCTGCTATGACACCAGTAGACACCAGTCCATCATAGTTATGTATACATGGTGTGTTCCCTACCATAGCCATTAAGTTATGACTATGCAGAGATCTACTAAAAGTCATTATAAATAAAATGAGATTATTTAAAAAGGAGACTAAGGGCTCAGCAGTTAAGAGCACTGGCTGTCATTGCAGAAGACCTGGGTTCAGAATTCCCACCACCCACATGACAGCTCACAACTTCTTGTTACTCCAGTTAGGCTTCTGGTCAGATTGCCTAGCACCAAGAAAACAAATTACGGAGGAGCCAAGATGGCAGTGCCGGGAGAGCACTGTGTCTGAGAAGCGGGACAGCACTCTCCGTGCAGCGACCAGGAGACTGAACTCTGGGCCCTAAAACAACAGCTATAGTGTTTCCCAGGTGAGGGGAGGCTCCCACAGCATGGGAATCGGTCGGGTACACCTAGCCAGAACCTGGAAGAGATCCCGGGTAACACGGACACTGGGTCTCAGGCCAGAGCCGCACGCCTGCATGTCCCGATCACTTTCCCAGGCTGATAGGTGGGCACAAGGGAGCCAGAGACTGAGAGTCCCAGTCACAAGAAAACCCCACAGGGAAGGAAAGTTGCGAGTCACTCAGTCTTTCCCTGGAAGGTCTCACAGACCGAGGGTACCCACCGCCATCACAACTGAGCTCCCACCACGCGGAGAGCTGTGCGCCCAGCTCATCGGTACAGACGAGCTGTGCGCCCCAGTGCAACACAGACTGGGAATCCCTGTCCGGAGAGGGCCCCGCAGGAAAGGAAGAAACCGGGCTGCTTGGGTCATCTGATCGGCTGCGTGCCCAGCTCACTGGTACAGACGAGCTGCACGCCCCAGTGCAACACAGACTGGAAATCCCTGTCCGGAGAGGGCCCCACAAGGAAGGAAGAAACCATGCTGCTGGTGTCACCTAGGCTTTGCCTGGGGAAAGTCTAGCAGACCGCAGATCGCACACAGGCAAGTACACCCAGCCATCACAGATCCGGGCCCAAGCAGGGAGCACAGAGTCTCCCAATCTCTGGCTCCCTTGTGCCTACCAATCAGCCTGGGAAAGTGATCGGGACACGCAGGCATGCGGCTCTGGCCCGAGATCCAGTGCCCGCGTTACTGGGGATCTCTTCCGGGTTCTGGCTGGGCAGCAGAGAGTGGACCCGACCGATTCCCACGCTGTGGGAGCCTCCCCTCACCTGGGAAACTCGATCACTGTAGTTTTAGGGCCCAACTGTGGGAACCCAGCTCCCACAGCTAGCAGGCGGGCACACGCTCCGCCAGCCCAGAGGCCTGCTTTGTACCAACTACTCTTTACTGTGTAAAGAACTGTGTGCCCCAAGACACCAGAGTCTTAGAGTCACTGTCTGGAGAAACCCTCACAAGGAACAAGGAACAAAGCAAAAAGGACAGACTTAGGCAACCCAGTATATCCCCGGAAAAGGTCCCACAGACTGACCCAACCCAGGGAACTGTTGTGCCCAGATAGCCTGCTGTTACCAGGAGAGCAGTACTCACCCGCCACAGATTACCTCTTGGGTTCTGGAGCACAGAGCCCCAACCTCAGACCTACAAAAGACCGGGAACCCTGAGATCAACCCCCAGATATTGCTCCAAAGGGCAACCAGTTATCCCTAACAAAACCGACCAAACCATGGGACACACAGGTTACAGCAGCTGATCACTAAATTTACAGCAAGAAACCCAGAAGGAGGGCAGCTGTCTCCAGGACTTCTCCTGGTGAGAGGAGAGCCCTCTTGACTAATCAGGACCACAGTTACCACCCAGGTCTCTATGCCTGAGGTGAGCTGTAGCAATGCCTGAAAAACACCGGCCATCCAGTGACTATACCCAAAAAGCTGAGAGGGCTTCCTTCAGGAAAAAACCATCTTCCTGCCAAAGGGATTCTCTCCACTACAAGAGTCCAGGAACAACCAGAAAACTAACTTCAAACAACTAAGATAGCCCAATGGGTAGAGGACAGCATGAAAGTTCAACCAACAAAAGCCAGAGCAATATGGCATCTCCAGAACCCAGTCATCCAGGGGCAAATAGCCCTAGACACCCCAGCATAATTGAAATTCAAGGAGATGACCTAACATCTATGCTCATGAAGAAGATAACAGAGGAAACGAATAAAATACGAAAAGAAATAGAGGAACATGCAGCCAAACAGTTTGTGGCCTTTAGAGAGGAAATGCTTAAATCACTGAATGAAATAAAAGAAACAGTGGATTGTTCAAACAAACAGCTAAAGGAACTGATGGAAAAACATGAAAATACAGTCAGACAGGTGAAGGAAACCAACAAAATAGCTCAAGACCTGACGATAGAATTGGAAAAATTTTTAAAAAACACAAATGGAAGAAATTATGGAGAGAAAGAACTTAGGGAAGAAAGCAGGAAATACAGAGGTTAGCATAACCAATAGGCTACAAGAAATGGAAGAAAGAATCTCAGGTGTTGAAGATACAATGGAAGAAATAGATATATCTGTCAAAGAAAATGTTAAATCTAAAAAATTCCTGACACGGACCGTCCAAGAAATTCAAGACAATATGAAAAGACAAAACCTAAGAATAATAAGAATAGAGGAAAAAGAAGATTCCCTGCACCAAGGCCCAGAAAATATTTTCAACAAAATCATTGAAGAAAATTTCCCCAACTTAAAGGAGAGGCCAATAAGAATACAAGAGGCCTATAGAACACCCAATAAATTAGACCAGAAAAGAAAATCCTCCTGCCACATAATAATCAAAAACGTAAGTATACAGAACAAAGAAAAAATACTAAAAGCTACAAGAGAAAAAGGTCAAATAACATATAATGCCAAACCCATTAGAATCACACCTGACTTTTCAACACAGATTATGAAAGCCAGAAGGGCCTGGACAAATATCATGCAGATCCTAAGAGAACACAGATGTCAGCCCAGGCTACTATACCCAGCAAAACTCTCAGTCCTCATAGACGGAGAAAACAAGATATTCAATGACAAAAACAAATTTCAACAATACCTACAAACAAATCCAGCATTACAGAAGACACTAGAAGGGAAAATACAACCCAAGAAAACTAGCTACATTCAAGAAAACACAGGAAATAAATAACCCCACTACAGTAAAACAAAAAGCAACCAAGCACACAATCATATGACCACAGCCAACATCAAATTCAAAGGATCAAACAGCCACTGGTCATTAATCTCTCTCAATGTTAATGGACTTAATTCTCCAATAAAAAGACACAGACTAACAGAATGGATGCGTAAACAAAACCCAGCAATCTGTTGAATACAAGAAACACACCTAAGCCACAAAGATAGACATTACCTGAGGGTAAAGGGATGGAAGACGGCTTTCCAAGCAAATGGATGCAAGAAGCAAGCAGGAGTAGCCATTCTAATATCTGATAAAATAGACTTTTCAACAAAAATTAATAAAAAGAGATGGGGAAGGACACTTCATACTCATCAAGAGAAAATTCCACCAAGAAGACATCACAATCCTGAACTTCTATGCCCCAAACAAATACAAGAGCACCCACATTTGTGAAAGAAACATTGATAAA